AGGACACGGAATAATCAGTTCGAGTTGCGGCAACCCAGATTCAGGCTGGACATCAGGAAAAGCTTCCTCATGATCAGAGCCATAGGAGAGTGGGACCAGCTGCCTGGAGAGGTGGGGGGCTCTCCCACACTGGGGAGATTCAGAAAGAACTTGGGCAGCCACCTGAGTGGGATGGTGTGACTTGGTGTCCGGCAACAGCAGGGGGTGGACTCAATGGCCTTCATGGTTCCTTCCAACTCTATCGTTCTATGATTCTTTAGGGTGAATGCCAGGAATGTTTTCCATCTGGCCAGGTTTAAGTGCTTTTCAAGGCAGCATCCTACAGGTGTGTTGGATGCCCATCCTTCTCATCCACCCAGGGATTGTTATGCAAGAGGGCACTAAGTTGGGGAAGGGTGACATCAAATGCAGATTGGCCCTTCTTCCACCATCTCTGCTCAAGAGTAGAAGCACCATGAAAATGTTCTTCTGGTTTGGTCCAAAATCAATGCCGCTTCTGAACACTTGGTGTGTTTTTGCCTTTATGCTGACCATCCTGACTTGATTTCAGGTGCTGCTATCGGGACTGATTGGCGTTGTGTCATGGAAAAGGCCCCTCTCCTTGGTGGTAAGTAAGAGCTTTTTCCTACTTAAGTCAGAGTTGAGGGCAACATTGCAGGGAAGATGAAAGCAAGGACAAAGAGCGTAGAAATCTACCGAACGCGCAAAGCAAGGACGGCTTGGTCCTCACATCTAGCAGATCTCCTTGCAAATGTCATGAGGACAGGCGAGGAAGGCCTCAAGCGCAAGGCGAGCCCTGCTGAAGGTCCGTCTCGTCCAGATGTTTGTCCACACAGTGGCCAGCCAGCTCGCCACAACATCCCACAAGCAAGAGATGAGTACAGAAAGCACTCTCCGGCCCGTGTTCCCCAGCAACTGCCGTATGTAGGCATTCTCCCTCTGATAACGGGGGCAGCATATAGCCATCAAGACCAGTAGCCTTCTCTTCCAGGAATCTGTTCAGCCCCCTCCCATCTGAACTGGTGGTCATTAGGACATCTTGCAAAGTGAGTCCTAAAGCTTAACGACGTAACACGCAAAGAACTCCTTTCCGCCGTTTGCCCTGAATCTCCACTAATTGGTTTCATTGAGTGAGCCCAGGTTCTTCTATTCTGAGACACTTGGTGGCTTTTCCCTGGCTCTGAAATGCCCTCCTCCTCTGTTGTCTTTGCACTACTAGGCAAATATAGTTTCTTTCAGGAAGACCTTTGCCTTATAAGCTGGTCTGTTGCTGGAGAATTGCTAATATTTGTTCTAGTGTTCTGATTGTTTTTAGCACTTTGTTTTAATTAAGATTTTGCTTTAATCTGAATTTTACTGCGAGCATCCTAGAGTGGCATTCTAGGAAAAAATGCAGGATATCAGTTAATGAAATAATTGCATTAGGAAATTAGCAAGTTTATGCGCAACTTTATGCCTTTTCTCTGCCTCCCACTTGGCCCCTGGGCTGTTTCCTGTCCATTATAAAGTGAAGAAGATTCGTTGAAATCATCCCTTCTTTTCTGGGGAGGTGGGTATTAATTTCCTGGTATCTTTCTAGCATGGTTTGTTATGCAAGATACCAATTAGGAACTAAATGTTTCTCATTAGGCATGTTCATTAAACAGCCAATGAAAATATAAAGCACAGGGTTTGGGGGGAATAATTCTTGTCTTTCACACAATTAATTTGGTATAAATTCACGGACATTAATGGAATGGTATTGTGAGGAATTTCTGTGCCAAGGTGTTTATGTACCAAGATTGCAGTGTTAATTGAAATAGATGCTATTCATTAATCAGCTAAATAGGAAGAAGGATATTTTGAAAACTAATTTTCTGACAACTGGAAAAAGCCAAGTCCTTTATTGTAAAGCATTCTGTGGGGTCAGGTCCCCCTCACATAAACTCTCTTTATTTCCCTTGCTCCTTTCTGCTACATTTTTGTGTTAGCTTTCTCAGCGCGGTCTGAACATTGATGGATCCAGACAATTGCTAATGACATCTGCTCTAAAGCCTGGTTTTCTGAACAGTTCAAAAACCATTTAGTAGTTTTCACTTAATCCAAAGCACCCACTAGCCTCTGCTGAATAATTCATCTTATTTCAACTTGTCGAGCAAGGCCTAGCTGCGCTATAGATATTTGCTCAAAGGATGAGTGGGTCCATGGGAGAAATGGAGGGGCTTGTCCATTAATTGGCAGTGTGGAGAACCAGAAGAAAAGGAATCGGGAACTGAAGTGAGCTTTCACTGTATTTTTATCTATTTGTAATACTTCTGGGCCACCTTTTAAAAGCAGAAGCCCTTCCAAAGCAGCTTACTTAATAAATATCATCCAATTATAGGCCAGCTGTGGTTAATAATATCAAAAGGCACAACCATCCAGACAGCATTAAAATCTAAGACAAAACAGCAGCTCAAAACCAAGAGTGAAATGGTGTTTTGAGCTTTCTTAGTGCCTGGAAAATTAAGATTAGGAATGCCTGCTGAATTGGACATCTGCAGAGTCGTGTGTTGGGTTGAACCCCAGACCTACGGGCCAAATTTAGCACCTCTCATCAGGACAAAATGAGCAGAATCTCTACCAGGATATGGCTGCTGAAAGCCCAAACCTGTACGAGCAGGTTTAGACGTGACGTGGAATCCAGGAATCCAGGTTGCAAGTCTTGTTCCCCACATACACCTGAAAGCCCTTTGTGTCTTTTGTCTGGATCCGTTCAACCCTTTTGGTTTGCTCTTGTGTAACTCTGGCAAACTGCCTACAGGATCCCAGCTTCCCCCAAATTGTGTCCGTAACTGTCCACGATGGACTCCGTCTTGGTAGTCCCTTTGTGGGCTACCTCCATGCTGCTTGTTTTCCCTGTACATCTGAATAAACTCTAAATGTTCTTTTGCTCGGACACCCCCAATGTGCCTGCATGTGCCGGCCATTCCAGTCCATCTCTCTGCCATTTCCCAGATCCCCTCGTCTCTCTGTCTGGCTTTACCTCCTTTCCCCAGACATCAGTAATGCAATGTTGTACTTCCATGGCTTTTGCAGCGCTTCCCTCCATCCTAAAATCCCCTCTCCTATTTGCATCAGGATGTGCTGGTTTGTTTGCTGTTTTGAACCCTACTGTTTGTCTTCAGCCCCGTCTTCCTCCGTGACAGGGCCCCTCAAAGCTTCTCCGAAACTGAATGTACCCTTGGGCTTGCAGAAGTTTGGCTCCCTTGCCCTTTGCCAAGAGTCCCAACTGGACAAGATGCAGAGCAGCACTCAACAGTTTCCACATATCTAAATACGAAAGTTAATGCAACTTTCACGTGAATGTTTATTCTGGGTGGATTTAGAAAAAAGCTGGGCTCATGCACAGGCAAACTCTGCACTCAGGTGGTTTGTAAGAAAAGCTGAGGATCTGACCCATGGCTTTTTCTTTCTCTTCTTCTCTCTCCTCCTCATTCCTCCTTCTGTCTCCTCTGTTCTCCTCTCTCCTCCTCTCTTCTTCTGTCTTCTCTTCTCCTCTCCCCTCCTCCTCTCTTCTTCCCTCTGCTCCTCTCTCCTCTCTTTTAGAACCATCATAAGCTTCCCACCAACAGTAGAGGAGGCTGTGCTCTGCCATACCAAAACAAGCATTGAAACATCCGTGCAACCGTTACTGCTTTCGTATTCTTAAAAATGATTGCCAGTGCCGTTCTTCCATAGAGTAGCACCCGTGTACTTCCTGGACCGGGTTCAGGCAGGATAACCCATGTGCGCCTTTGGATTCTTCATGGGGGTGGAAAGGAATGTTGTCAACAGGCAGGATCGGGGAGGACACAAAGCTCGGGAGGGAGGGGGAGAGGGGGTAAATTACTTTCTAGCCCCTGCAGGACATCCAGGGAAGCCATGCAGCTTCCTTCTCCCACTCTAGCCCATTGGACCTTGCCTTCTCCAAAGAGGTAGGGGTGCGAACAATGACATCACCTGTTTCTCTGGAGCTGTTTATATTAATGTACTGCACTGGGATTCACACCAGAAATAAATTTACAGCATGTCTCGAACTTTTCTTTAACCCATGCATGCGTGATTTCTGCCGATTATATCCACAAAAGCCCTTTTACGACGAATGCTGCATGTGCCATGTTTTATGAAACGAAAGCAGTCTTTATGATTTGTGTGAGGTTAGAATAGCTTATTTTCTTTCCATAGCAATTGCGTTCCAGGGCTATTACCTTCCACCGTGCTTTTTGGCAGACGACAATGCACTTGGAGCACCATGCAATTAAAGTCGCAGACCAGGGACTGGTTAATCAGCCCGGTCAGCATTTTCGTTCTTGCTGGGTCTTAGCTGATTGTAATAGAATCTTAGAACAGCGATAAAGCGTTGGGTTGTTTCAGGGATCAGCTTTTCTGAGTTTGGTCTGATTGGCGTATAAGCAACCAGGTACGGGAGTGTTTATTTCTTGGTTTAGCAAATGTTTATCCCATCTTCTAATCCGTTGAAGGTTAGGACATCCACTGACAACACTTCTAAGGAATGTATTGTACATCTAGCATAGCAGTTAGTGTGCCTGGGACTCTGGAGGTCTGGGTTCTAGTCTTGCCACTTTTGAGTTTCGTAAGCTGGCCCATAGGGGGTTATCCCAGAAGGTTTTCGTAATGATAATGTGTGTGTTTATTGGTTCTGTTGACTGATTCATTATGTAGGATGCTAGCAGAAGAGTGAAGAAATGGTACGTTGTGCTTAAGTGAGGTCAGCGTGATATCAGGATGTCCAACTGGCACAGGCTACAAATGCCCCATCAGGGCAACTCGGCAGGTGAATGAAAAAGACGGTTCAGCAAACAGGGAGTAATAGTTTTGGAGGTGCAGTTGGCTGGGAAATCTCAGGCCATCAGTGGTGTTACAGTAAAGGAAGTGAAGTTGTAGGATAAATGATCCCTGGCCATGTCCAGAAGAGCGGCTGTGTTAGGGTGACCCTACTCAACTGCTCCTGCAGCGGGGACTATACCACTTCGAGAAAAGATTATAAGCTGTTGGTTTGTTCATCGGTGCTGCACAAGGAGAATAGAAATAAGCTGGTTTTGGGCTGCCCCTTCCCAGGCCGGCTTTGTTGGGGTGGGGAGCCATTTTGTGGTGTTTTGCTTTCCTGTCCTACAAGGATCACCTAGGAGACATCTTGTGGGAGGAGTGGCTACTTCTCACACCAGTGGAAAGACTTGGGGATATGGAGGAACGCCATCATGCAAAGAAGCTGAGGTTGGACTGGCTCCGTGTGTCCTCCTGATATTACCTAAGTACTGCAGGGAAAAAAGTTGCTACCGCGTCTTCTACACCACCACTGGAAGGTGCCTTGGAAAGGTCCTCCAAGACACGTGAGTTGCACAAGGTGTTGTGTGGGCACAAGCATTTTGCGTCATCGCCAGCAGCTAAGGGTGGCCATGTGTCCACAGGAAGAGTTGAGCCTTCAGTCCCAAGTCCAGACCCATTTTTTGTGGTTGGGTTGTGTGAATGCATCAGTACCTCTTGAAGGCTTGCTTTCATCCCACTCCGTGTGTTGCAATATGTATTCTGTGGCTGATAGGGAAGAGGTCGTGCATCGTTCCGAGCATCGTTATGAGCCAGGCTTGTGTATTGAACATCTGTGTGTATCCATGCAGGGGTGACTCAGCTCTCCATTTCCTGCATTCCCTGGAAATCTGCTGAGATTTGCTGAGGATGCATTCCGGAAGGCATAACAGCCAATTTTCAGTGGATAGCTTCCCATTGCATATTGGTTTCATTCTTCTATCTTTCCCTCATTATTCTTTTAAAGCATACATTTAATGATAAGGGCCTCAGGTCAGTGTTTCCCAGGCTGTGTCCTCCAGTTGTATTGGACTACAGTTCCCAGCATGCCTCAACCAGCAATAAACAGGTACGGGGGCAGCAGCTGGGAAAAGCTGCCTTGACACTCCCCCGAAACATACCCGCTGACGCTCAGTGACGCAGCTGCATTTCTGCTCCCTCTCTCCTGCATTCGGTCTTGTTGTTCACTGAGCAAGCAAATGGGTCAAATAAATAAATAAACGAATGAGTGCCACTCTTGAGTGATTAAGCCGCCAAATAACCGCCGCTAATTGATTACTTTGCAACAGCGTGTACGCTCATCGCGCCTTGGCTGAACTGGAAATATTGCTTTGCTGATGGACTTGCATGTCTGATGTGTGATTATTATTTTCAGAACCGGCTTCGACGCTTGACAAACCCTGTAATCTCCCAGCACAAAGGGCCACCTGCACGCCGACGTGCTTCGTCGCCTCCGACTTGCTCGTGCAGTAAATATTGGAATATACGAATGCTATTTCTCCCTCTTCTCTGTTGGTTGGCCTATTTTGAAGTGGCGCCCTCCGCAGAGAGATTCAGTGGTCATGCTTGGCTCGGCTTTTACAAGATATATTTTAAGACGTATTTATCAAATATTTATTCCTTGACTTTTGTCCCCTGACCTCTTCCCCAAGTGGGTTTGCATTACAACAAGCAGCTTAAAGAGCGTAAAATTAGCATGAAGACAGCCCTTTGTGCAGGAGAGGCAACTGTGTCATTATTATTTGACTGAGTGACTGCTCGTGGCATTACATGAGCTTACACAGAACAAAGACGGCGGGAAGGAATTCCGCCTGGGTTTGCCCAGGTTGTGAATCCCTCAGGCCCAGCCCGGCACTCCCCTGTCCCTCCTAGCTTTCCGTCGTGATCTCCCTTAGGCCAGCAAAGCCATCCAAGAAGAGAGAAGGTGGGCCAGCCCTCTCCAATCTAGTGCCGTCAAAGAGAGTTGGACTACAGCCCACTTCGTCCTCAGATGTTATAGGGGATGCTGAAGAAGAGGCGTAGGCAGAAAGTAGATTCGCAGGTGCTTGGGATGTCACCTCCCGGACGTCCCTGCCTGCACGGCCGGTGGTTGGAAGTGCTGGTAGCTGAGGTCCAAAGCAATTGCAGATATGCTTCCTCCCACCTCTTTTACAGGAGGCCGTATTATATGGTGGCCTTTCAACCCATCTGAGTGCATTCCTTCTTCCCCTCATCTCCCTTCTCACCCCCATTTTTGGAAGTCAAAAAAAGAATGCTCATTTTTTTTTTGAAAGTCCTACCATTTTGAGCTGCAGTTTTCAGTAGAATGTGTTTCTTCTTCTTCTTCTTCCAGTAAAGGCGACATGAATGTAGTTGTGTTAGAGCTCGTGCCAGACGCCTGTCCAGGTGTGAAAGCTTGCCGGACCTCTGTGGCCCAGTGAAGAACTGTATGAGCGCCTGGAAACATTGGGGATCGACCATGTTCCAGTGGCTCCTGAGAATGACTGTTGTGTGCTGCCTCTGGGATCAGAGGTGGCATGCCTCTGAAGGCCAGTAGGTGCAGGTCAACAGCAGGAGGAGGCCATGGTCCCATCTCCTGGAGGTTGTGGCTTTTGACTTCCTGGAGCCTTGACAGGCGTGGTCATCAAAGTCTAGAATGTGGGACCAGCTGGGCAAATACTTTGACCTGGTCCAAGGCATCTTGCTCAGTTCTTTAGAACTTAGGTATTAGGCCTGGCATGAAGGGTAGGCATGACCAGCTCTTGCCAAGAGCCCACACCTCAGCAAAGCCCCCTAAGAAGAGCTGTTCCTGCTCTTCAGCATTGTCTCTTGTTCTGGCCCAGGCCATTTGGAATGAGAAAGAGGAGAAGGAGAGGCTCCCATCAAGGTAGCACTGAGAAAGAGGTTGAGGAGCCATGCCTGGTGGCGACCATGTTGACGAGAAGGTGGACTCACTGGTGGAGGCACCAACTGAGGTGTCTTACACAGGGGCCCTCCAACTCTTGCGGCTGCTCTTTGAGGAATATCATGGGCGTCTGGAGTTGTGTCTAATCCGATCACATGCTTGAGATCATATAGTTGAAGTGTAGGAAGATGCCCAGCTATGCAACCTTTTCTTGCACGTGCATTTTGTCTGCACTGGTTTTTAATCATTTTGGTGTCCACTTTTTCCGAAACCCTTATTTCCTGATGTCAGAACAAGTTGATAGGATAGGAAGTGCAGCTCAGTATTAACTACAGCAAAGTTTTCTGTGGACCTTTTTTCCATTGTTTTGCTCTATTTTGCCACAAGCACTTTTTCAGCCATCACAAAACATCAACATTCTTGAATCAGCAGCATATTTTGACACTAGTCGTGAGTTTATTTTTCTAAAGGAAGGGAAAAATGGAATTATTGCTAGCTTGGGTTCTTGTGCCAAGCCAGATCTGTTTGCAATCTATCGTGTGTTATCAATAATATTTAGCTTTTATTTTACATACCTAAAACTCCATGCACTGGCTGAGTTTCTTCCATATTGTGGTGCTGCTTTTGTGCTTCTCGCCATTTTTGGGTTATGCGATCCCCAGCAAAGCAATTTTATTTATTTATTTATTTATTTTTCAATTTATATCCTGCCTTTTTCCCACAAAGGGCTCAAGGCAGCTCACATCTCCTCCTCCTCCATCTTATCCCCACAACAACAACCCTGTGAGGTAGGTTGGGCTGAGAGTCTGTGACTGGCCCAAAGTCACCCAGTTGGCTCCATGGCTGAGCGGGGACTAGAATCCTGATCGTCTGAGTCCCAGTCCCATGCTCTTAACCACGACACCACACTGGCTCTCCTGTGGAACAAGGAATGAGCATTTAATCTAATTTAATTTAATTTAGCAAGCATTTAATTCCTGACCCTTTTCACATGATTAATATTTTTATTTAGGAAGTTAAGCTATGGGTCCTGGACAGTATCTAGGGGGCCGTACGATTCTTCTGATGCCTAGATCTGAGGCTGAAAACCCAGCTCTGACCTTAGTGCTGCGGTTCTGTTCTCCATCCCACAATTCACAGCTATGGCGGAAAGGGGCACACTGGCTGTCCCTTTGAGGTCATAAAAGTGGTATTCTGGAGGGCAGGGAGTAGAGGAGCCTGGAGTCTCCTCTGGAGAGGAGGAGATGGACTATAGATTGCTCCTTCTAAAGTGTGGGACCTAGGCAGCCAGAACACCCCGCCCCCATTCTCTGTTGGATGATTTCAAACCTCCACATTTATGTTGAGGATGCAGTCCATCAAACTGCACGCTTCCTTGTTTTCCCACTAAAGCACTCTAGCCACATTAATTAGCATCCAGTACCAGATTCAAACTAAATCCATCAGATCACAATTTCTGCCAAAACTGGCTGAAAATTAAGAAAGCAAAAATCATGACTGCAGAAGAATTACAGAGCTCTGCTGTCAACAATCAGGAAATCACAGTAGTGACAAAGTTTGTATACTTTGGCTCCGTGCAAAGGGGAGACGGCAGCCAAGAAAAGGGAGTAAAGAAGGAACTAGGAAGATCATCAAATGTAAGGATGTTTCACTAGAGACTGAGGCCAAGATCATTCCCACAATTATATTCCTGTGTGGGTGTGAAAGAAGCTGACCGCAAGACACTCAGTGTGTTCAGAACATGGTACTGCAGGAGAGCTTTATGGATATTCTGGACCAACAGGAAGACAAGCAAGTGGGCCCTGGATCAAACCAAACCAGGGCGTTCCCTAGAAACAAAACTAATGTGTACATGAGAGAACAAAGACTCACTGGAGAAGACAATCCGGCCAGGGAAAGTTGAGGGCAGAAGAAGGAAGGAAGACCAAAGAAGAGAGGGATTCAGTGCATAAGTGAAGCCAGCACTAATTTCGAACAACTAAGCAGGAATGTCCTGGAGAGGGCCTTTTGGAAGGCTTTCGTTTCGTTTCCCCATAAGTCATAATTTATTATGGTGAAATAATTATTTCACCATAAGCTTGGTGACACAAAGCATGCGCCAACCATGAAGCAGCCAACGTTAGCAATACAATATATATGGATGCCTGAGTTGCACGGAACTCTTAGGCTCAGGCACGTGCCCATGCAAGCGCCCGCGCTGTGCTCCATGGGTGCTAATGGCCTACTAAGAGTTTGGTGCAGGAACTTCCTCAGTCCATGCAGACTCAGCGGTTCCTCCAGGCAACTCGGAATTCTGGAAAAGCATCGCCTGCATAGTCTGAATCAGAGTGTCCAAGAGAGCCAACGTCAGCATCTCTCCGAAGGATGCTAATGTGATGTGAGGCGCCGGCCGTGCAAGTCAGTGGGAATAACTGTAAAGCTGGGCTGGGAGCGTCAGAGTCCGTCGTGCCCTGTGGCCGAGACAGAAATTGAAGCGGTGTCGCTCAGCCCTCAGATGCTTTTAGACTGGATCTCTGGCACTTGGGGTCATCTTTACCGTCGGTCATCTTTGGTTCCAACCACAGTGTCCGTGCTCTCAGTGACTTCTAGCAACGGTGGCAGTGTGGGAATCCTTGCATCACCCCTGCTAGCACGTTGCACCTCAAAAACTTCGAACGATGAGCAGTTTCCTATTGCTTTGGTGACCCCGCACGCCATCGAGCTATTTCGATTCACCTGGGTGTGCAAAGCAGCCTCCTTTTGAGGTTGGCTACTTGCCCACCTAGGCTATTGATGTCCCCCAAGGAGCAGCTTGTTGCTAAGACTTCAGTCAATGGTTTTTCCCAATGGGAAGTCATGAGAATTCATCTAAGTGGAACGTGGGGTTGGGGCATTCAGAAAACCTAAGTCCAGATGGGAGATGAGCCTTCCCATCCCAAACTTGCTTTCTGGAGCCCTCAAAATCCAAGACAAGATCCTGAAGAGGCATTCCGCTCCCCATCTGCTGCCCTCAGACCTTTCTTTCCGCCACTCTTCTTATGTCTACTTCTCTCCTTCCCTTGCCTTTCCTTCTTCCTCTCTTAGCAGGAGCAGCCTTGGCAGTGTGAAGCCAACGGGGAGGTATTTTTCTTTGCCCCCATACTCAAGAGAGCTGGGGGGGGCGTGTGTTGGTCTCTGGCTTGTGGGGGAGCCCCATATCCTCCAAAGGGAGTGCCGGACCACCCTGACTAGGGAATAGTTCCTGGAGCTTTCCCCCCTCCGGGAGCTTGGAAAACCTTTTCTTCCCTGTTCCCGGCTACGTCATCCTTTTTACTTGGGTCTGAACCTGGGATTTTCTGAATGCTCAGTGAGGCCCTGCTGCCAAGCCCTCTTACAGGTACGTGGACGCACCGGCAGCGAGCTCTCCAAAGCCATTGCGACTGATCACACGAAAGCAAAACGCTGGAGAGGCGTTGCTCACAGCAGTATAATTGCTCATAATTAATGAGTGAGCCTCCTCTCTCAGCTGGATTTTCAACATATTATTAAGTTAAGCTTATATTAACCTATTGTGTCCATAGTATTCGCTCCAGTAGCATAAATGGGCTCATTAGATTATTTCCAGTT